ACACGCTGTCTGGAAAGGGGAATCCCATGGGACCTCATCCCTAGACAAGGAACTACAGACAACTAAGGACTTCTGGTGAAAGGGAAAACTAGTCGTTCCAAGGCATAAGCTCATAATTGGTTATCCAATTCCAAGTTGTCAGCACTGAAATCATATACATGCAAGCAACACTAGATGGATTCAGCAGGTTGTACTTATACATTTATGCATTTATTCGTATATGTAACTATAACAAAGAAAAAGAGGCCATGCATTTGAAAGGGAGATGGAGAGATGGGGGAAAGTGGGTTACATTCCCACAAGTAAATACATAGGAGTGGCATAGATGTGTCATATGGCAGTTCTCATGTTAGCTTTCTGAGAGTATCCTATATTCATTTCCATGGAGGCTTGACCAATTCACATTTGTTGTTTTAAAATAAATATATGCCGTGATGAAAATTTTACACAACTCAAAAGTGTATGTCTCTATGCAATTCTTTTCTATATATGTTCTATTTGATTATGTGGATATGCATGTATTTTCGAAAGATAGGTAGATATATAAATGATAGATGAAGATAGATGAGATAGATAGACAACACATGATAGATAGATAGATGATAGATAGATAGATAGATAGATAGATAGATAGATGTGAGATCAATGGATAATAGATGATGGATGGATATATAGATATAGATGAGATCGCTAGATAAGCACATAATAGATAGATAGATAGATAGATAGATAGATAGATAGATAGATTAGATAGATGATATTCACTCACAAGTTTTGCAACAATTGCATGTAATTATACCAGATTCTCTTCTACAACTCGTAATTTCCACTAACTAAGCACTACTGCAGCTGCTTATGTCAACTGAATGAGACACATGTGGGCATATTTCTGAATGGACCTGAATGATATTTTAATGCATAAACATAATAACAGAATCACCTACTTACTTGAGATAGATAGATTCAATTTATCCAAACACCCAGACAGTTTTCCAGAATGGCCACAATAGGCTATGTTTCTAACCACTGTGCTGCAGGGTTTCCACACTCCCTGATGCCACTTGTTCTTTAAATTGTAAAGATGTAGAATTCCACTTAGATAAAATGTGCGTGAACATCTGTCTGTCTTCCTCTTACTGCCTTGCAGGAGCTTGTATAGGGAACACGTGATGTCCTGATTGTGTTTATGCTGTTGATATCAGCACAGTCATGTGAAGAAATAATACCTCAAACCTGTGGAAGTATCAAAGCCTTCCCTGTAGGGCTCAGAAGGACAGCAAACCCAACTCTGGGTCCAAATGTGAAAGTTGACACTGTTTGCAGAAAACGTTCACTACAGCTTTTCCCCTGACCTCTCCTCCTGGATGTATGTGGCCTGAAGGTTGTTCCCCTGCAGAGTTTCTCCTATTGAGATAAGTTAAAACTGTATTCTCTAACCTGGGATCCTTATTTAACTGTATATAATAAACATGCCGAGTTTCTGAACTGCATAGAATAAACACACTGGGCTTTCAGGTTGCTGTAGCTTTTCCATAAGAAATCCTAGCCCTCCAAACCCAGCTCCTTTGTACTGTGTCTATGTAATCTGTCCTCCCTTCATTCCTATTGCCCCTGTTAGGTCAGTCCCTGCAACCATGCCGAATACTTGTTTATTCAAAGCACTCTTTTCCTGGCTATCATGATACTGAAGATACCTTCTCTTATGCTCTTAACCATTCCTACACTTGATCCATACTATTATCTGTTAATCTCTTTTCCTTTACTGTAGTAAAGTCCATCGTTTCCTAGTTTGTGGTTTGAATGTTTATTAGTGCTACCACATGTCTCGACGGCATAAAACTTTGTTGTAACCTTTTCATTAATTTTTTTCACATTTTATATGTATACCTTTTACACATAAGGATTGATGTAAAAATGTAATAAAATTGGTTGTATTTCAGTCTTTTCAATGGCTACTTACTGTGACCTAAGAAAATTGCAATTCATAATTTTAAATCAGTTATCAATTGAGGACAATTCAGATGAATTTTATAGTTTATTTATAGATAAAACTTAAGGAATAGTTTGGGGTTACTGGATCACTCACTCTGTGATATATATATGTTAAAATAATAACATATGCAACAACGCTGCCTAACAAATCTGTAATATTTGCATGATATATGTTTTCAATGTAGTATTGCTAGATAAATAGCATGTAGTATATGTCTTATTTGTTTGTTTGGGTCAATATTGACAAATTGTCCATCAAAGTCTACTTCCATCAATAATAATTTTGTTAATTCATAAATTACATTTTATACTTCATACATGCAAATTTATTTTCAATAAAATATTAGCCATGATTTGACACTGTCTTAGTTACTTTTCTACTGCTGTGAAGAGACACCATGACCAAATCAACTTATAAAAGAAAGCATTTAATTGGGGTCTACTTACAGTTTCAGAAGGTGAGGCCATGACCACCATGGTGGGGAGAATGGTTTTTTTGCAGACGTGCAGGCATGGCCCTGAAGCAGTTGAGAGCTTACATCTCATCTACAAGCAGCAGGCAGAGAGAGACCCAGATAGGAATTGGCCTAGCCTTTTGAAACCTTACAGCCCCCACACCCAGTGACACATCATCTCCTACGAGACCACACCTCTTGTTCTTCCCAAATAGTACAATCAGGCATCAAAATATATTAGCCTTTGGTGGCTATTTTCATTAAAACCACATCAGACAAGGTATTTTTGATATTTTATTCAATATTCATACATGTATGTAATGTGTGGACCAAACCCACCTCTCTCTCTTTCCACTATTTCTATCCCTGTGCCACCGTATTATTCTCTCATTTTCATATGTTCTCTATTTTTGTCATTTTTTAAAAATACACCGAGTCCATATAGTGCCATCATGCACATGGGTGTGGGGCCACATACAAGAGCATGTGTATCATCTCAGGGCCTGTATCCCTGTAAAGAATCTGACTCTTGCTCCCCCAAAGGCCAACAGTTGCCCTTGTCCTACCAGCCCCTCCTTCACCCATGCCAGGAATTTTTCTGGCTTGATCTTGTCCATGTCTTGTGCTTACAGCCACAGCTCTTTTGAGTTCATGTGCTGCTCTGGTGTCATGTCAGGCAGATTCTGTTTTGCTAGCTAATATGACATTTAACAAATGAATTTTTCAATTACAATATCCTACCACCTATGCTGATCAGATGTTTTAACTTGATATCCTTACATCTTCTTAGTATTTCTTGAAACTCATTTTATAAGGTTTTATACCACTTTTCTCAAAATGATAATCCAAAGTTATTAAATTAGGTATCTTTAACTTTCTAATTTTAACATGGTTTTATTTTTTGTTTAGCATGTGAAATAGTATCACTATGACATATATGTGTGTGTACTTTTACCTCGCTCATATTCAACCCTGTTATTATCTTATCAAGTAGAATGATAATTATTACCAAATATTTTGAAGCCGCTTGACATCATTTTTGGCCCCAAACAAAATATTTTCTTAGTCCAGAGAGCATTCAGCAGTTGGTTTTATTCTGAAAGACAGATATTAAATTATTTTGTGGGGAAGAATACACTTGGCATGTAAATACATCACTAACTCGTTTTTAAACAAAATTAAACATTTTGTTTCAGGAAAGGAAAATATCTCCTGAATGAATGAAATGCTTAATGGCTGAAGTAACAGAAGGTTGCTGGTATAATTCTGTGTTAACAGAATGTTGGCTAGACAGTGAGGATATAGCCCCGTCATTAAGTGCTCTTCAGTCTATAAAATAACATGCCTACTCTCTGGAAAATAATTTGTCACTATAGCCAATACATTAATAGTATAGTGTTGGTTGAAAATCTACTGTGCACTAGTTCCAGCAGCACATGTATTAGAAATTGGAATGATCAAATCAAATGATTAGCATGGGTGTTGAACGAGGATGGCACTGACTGATAAAGTGTTCCAATGACTGGGGTGGGGAACTGGAGAGATTGTTCCGTGGTTAAATGCCCCTATGAAGACATGAAGACCTGAGTTCAAATCTCTGGCACCTGTGTAAAAAGGGCAGATGTGGTGGCACATGTGTGTAGCTATACTGCTGGAGACATGGAAACAGGGGATCCCCTGAGTTGGTGACCATGCAGTCTAGCCATCAGTAGTTCTCAGTTCAAATAGAGACCCTAATTCAAAACCATCAGTGACAAGGGATAAAGGAAGACACACAATGATGATACCTGGCCTCCAGTAACATGCACACACACACAAACACACAAATACACACATACACTATACACCCATTCATAAAATGCCCCTTGTTTCACGTACACAGAAAATGGCTGGGGGTAAATAAGATAGTGTATACTACTACCAAAGAGAATAAATTTTTATTTAACTTTTTACACATATTACTCCCAGCTCCCTCTCCCTCCCCTCTTCCTCCATCCCCCCAAACCCCACTCTGTCTCCCCTCCACTACCCAGGGAGGGTAAGGCCCTCCATGGAGGATTTTCAAAGTCTGTCATAACATCCTGGGCAGAGCCAAGGCCCTCCCCCATGTGTCCAGGTTGAGTGAGTATCCCTCCATGTGGAATGGGCTCCCAAAGTCTATTTGTATGCCAGGGATAAATACTGATCTACTATCCGAGGTCCCATAGATTGCCGAGGCCCCCTATCTAACACGCAGGTTCAGAGCGGGGGGGGGGGGTTCCTGGATCAGTCCCATGCTGGCCTCTCATTCATCAGTCTGAGGTCCATGCATTCCCCTTTGTTTAGGTCAGCTGCCTCTGTGAGTTTTACCAGCCAGGTCTCGATTCCTTTGCTCATAACTCCTCCTTGCAACTGGATTTCAGGAGTTCAGTTCAGTGTCTAGCTGTGGGTGTCTGCCTCTGCTTCCGTCAGCCACTGGATGAGGCTTCTAAGATGGCATATAAGGGAGTCGTCATAATCAGGGGAGAGCATTTAAAGTAACCTCATTGCCAGTTGGTGTCATTCTTGTAGATCTTGCTTCAGCAGCACTTATAATAAACATTGGAACAATACAGAGAAGATTAGCAAGGCCCCTGCGCAAAGAGAATATTTATACACATAGAAAAAAAATCATTACATAGCCAAAGAGAGCTCATCCATTAAGAGCATTTATTGCCCAATCACAAGGCCAGAGTTCAGAAGCCAGTACCCACATAACACCCTGGAAGTCTTCAAATGTCTGTAATTCCACCTCCACAAGAAAAGGTACCTCTTCTTCCATCTGTGCACATATAAGCATGGTGCACACATCCCCCAACATGTGCTTACCCACAGACAATGCCGAAATGAATGATGTAACTGTTTTAAAAAGGAAAACCATCACAACTGTTAACAGAAGAAGACTGGTTTTGCTTGTAGAGCTTTTGTTTCCTTTCGTGCCTCATCATCACAAGGACACTTTGTGTCTTCTGAATTTCCTTTGATTATCAGTCATTATCATTAATTCTAAGTTGCCGATTGCCTTTTCTTTCTATTTTTCTTCTTCCTCCTCTGGACCTTCAGTAAAGTCAGATCTGAAATCTACATTCATGGTGATTTCTTTCTTGATGAATCTACCCTTACAAGAATTACGTTTGAAATGCCGATTATATTCTTTAACTACATTTAGCTACACATGTTTGAAAAACCCTCCAATGCTACAGTTACTGAGAATTTCATGTCTTTCTCTTCTTTTCCCTTTTATATTTTATATTTATATTACCTGCTCTTAGTTATTGAGCCGATTGTCTTGATTCATTTCACTTTTTTATTTCTTTGCTACATTTTATCTTGGGAGGTGGTGGTGATGGCGCAGGGTGGGGAGTGGCGGTGGTAGCATGCTCACCTTGGCACACATTCAGGAGTCAGAGAACAGCTTGACTGTAACAGCTCTCGCCTTCCACTCTGTGGCTCTCAGTGATCAAACCTGGGTCATCAGACTTGACTGCAAGCACCTTTACTCGCTGAAACATCGCGTTGTCTCTCCCAATGAAATTCATGGTGCTTTACAGCTATCTTCACCTCTTCCTCATAGGTACTTCACTTTAAATGCTATCTTAAGCATGAACAGAAGCTGAAAATCAGAGGTTTTTTTGGGATGCTTCTTTGCTTTAAATTTCCTGCTAGAAGGAATATTGATATTAGGTTATACCTAAGTGACTATAGTTGTTACCAGATATTGCTGGAAGTTTATTTTGTTATTCTCGATAACATTTTTTTTTGGTTTTTAGAGACAGGGTTTCTCTGTATTGCTTTAGAACCTGTCCTGGAATTTGCTCTGTAGAGCAGGCTGGCCTTGAAATCAGAGTGATACACCTGTCTCTGCCTCCCAAGTGCTGGGATTAAAGGTGTGCGCCACCAACACCTAGAAGTTCTCCAAAACTTTGTTATTTTAATAATTACATGAAAAGAGAAAAGCAAAGAAAAGTATCTAGAAAAGTTTAATGAAAATATCTGGTAAGTGAATGATAAAGAGACGGCATTCGACGTACAGCCACTTTGGAAATCATTGCACTTTTAATTGCAATAAGTCTTGAAGTAATCCTTTCTCATGGAGGTTTCAGAAGAGTGTACATCCTGAGAGCCAGTAGCTCTGGGAACATCTTCACCTTCCATATATGAATGAGTTGTAGTTTCTTTTCCTTGGGAAAGCTTGACTAACAGCTCTCCATCCACAGTATAGGCAGATGTGTTTCCCTGTTGAAAAGGATTTACTAGAGAGGGAAGTCTACATCAAATCCATGTCTCCTTTTCTTTGTATTCTTCATTGTGTAAGAATCCAAAGTTACTTTCAGAATAGCATTAAGCATAATCCTTTTTCTGCTATAGTTTACATTACAAATGTCCTTCATATGTTCATGTGTTGGAGGCTTGGCCCTCAGTGCTATTGGGAACCAGTACAACTATACTAGAAAGGGCCTAGTGAAAACTAATTGGGCTTTCAAAAGCCTGTGTTTGCACGGGAAATTAGAAAAGGACTCAGGTCTCTTCCCCTTTCTCTCTCCACTTTTAGCCACCACACCTTCAACAGTCCTTCTCCGTGTGCTCACACCATGAACCCCAGTGTCCCGCATTCAGGCCAACAACCATAAAATGAAACCTCTGAAACCGTAGATGACAAGAAATCTCTCCTATAAAGTTGACTTTCTCGGGCAATTGGTCACAGTGAAAGACATGTCTCTGAAATATTTTTCTTCAGTAGTTTTTCTCCAAGTACTTGGGGAGTTTAGGTTTTCTAGAGATATTTTTTATTTTTATTTTCTATGTATGAGTGTGTTGGCTACATTCATGTATATGCAGCATATTGCCTGCAATTGTGTATATCTGTGGCATGCACTGCTAAGATAATTGTCTAGCCTGAACTTGTTGGGGTTTGTTTTACTAAATAACAGAGATTCTCCTTGGCAGCCGTGAGGGAAGGTACAGATGCCTCCTGTGGTGGTCTCTGTTATACTGCAGAAGTGAGAGATATTCAGTATCCCCAGCACAGTGGGACTTTGAGGGAGTGTAACAGGGAGAGTAGTAGCTTTGTACTGCTACTGAGCACTTGGCAGGCATTCACACTTTCAGTGAGCAGGAGGCTGCCTGGCAGCCTGAGAAACATAAAGAGGAAAGGGCAGATTCATCCAGGAAGAGCCTTCTGCTGCATAACAGTTCTCACCAAGGGCAACTGAGCCAACAGGAATGTCCAACAAGTAGACTGGGCATCAGAGGGGTCAAAAGCTAGTACCTGTACCATGCCCAGGTACTGACTAGATTAGAAACTGCTTGGTGATCACTAAAATGGCTCACGTGGTAAAAGCCTTCAACACCCAAATCTGGTGTTCTGAATTCAACCCCTAGAACCCATGAGTGGGAAGTGATTTTGGATAATTCAGTGTTGTTGTATTTAACAAATAAAAATGCAGGGTGTCCAGTTAAAATTCAATTCCATATTATCAACAAATAAGTTTCTTGCGTGTGTGTGTGGGGGGGGGGTATTTTTTGAGATAGGGTTCTCTGTAACAGCTCTGGCTAACCTGGAACTCCCTTTGTAGACCAGGCTAACCTCAAATCCAATGATATCCACCTGCCTCTGCCTCCCAAGTGTTGTGATTAAAAAAGAAAACACTGCAAAGAGAACAGTCCACACAACAGGACTCACAAAGGAGGGTTAGTGGAAGAGGAGAGAGAAGGGGCAGAAAAGGGGGCAGAGACCAGTCCCTGGAGCCAAGAGTGATGGAAGAAAAAGAGAGAATGATAGAGGAAAAGAGGAAGAGAGAGAGGAGAGGGGGAAGGAGGTGAGTAGGGAAAGAATGAGGAGGCAATAGAACACATATGGTAGGAAAATGGAAGGGGCCATAGGGGTGGAAGGGGCCCCAGAAGTGGGAAAAGAGTAGAGATGGTAGAGAGGAACAACCTAAATTAAATTTGTATAAAAATACCATATCCATCTTTCTACTTTGTTAGCTAACTCATAAAAAAAAGTACAAAACTAAAACCCCTGACAACAGTGCTTCTTAGGCTATGGAGAGTGTCCAAGTGAAGACTCAGAGTCACTGGGTTGCAAATGGCATCTTTCCATTGCTGAAATGGAATAGTCCACAACAGGAAACATCAAAATCTAATATGGAATATCCCTCTCTCGCTAATAGGCAGGACCACCAGACAGAAATTTAATAAAGAAACAAAGATACTTGATGAAAGATGCCATTATATAAATCTGACTTTCTTAATGGTTGTTGAATAAAGCATTGTTAGCCAATAGGAAAGCAGAATAGGTGGGACTAGGAATCGAGGAGGATTCTGGGAAAGAGATGCACACACAGAGTCACAATGTGGGACACAGGAGAAGAAACATGTGGGCCCTTCCTCCAGTAAGCAAAAGCCACATGGAAATACCCAGATTAGCAATTATGGGTTAAATACTTAAGTCAGAGCTAGCCAGTAGGTAACAAAGCAAACGGCCAACAGCTTATAATTAATATAATGTCCTGTGTGTTATTTGGGGGCTGAGACAGCAGCAGGGCCCAAGTGACTAACTGAGGTAGGGCCCAAGCAACGGGCAGGAAGACATATGTTACAGGAAATCATTGAAGTTAAGACCCAACTGGGTTCAGCAGACATCGACAGAATATTCCATCCAAACACAAGAGAATATACATTCTTCTCATAGCCACATGGAACATTCTCAAAAATCAACCACATAGTTGGCAACATAGGAAACCTAGAAAGGTACAAAAAAATGGAATAACTCCATGTATCTTATTAAGACCACCATGCTTTAAAGTTAGAATTCAACAACAATAAATATTGCAGAAAACCTACAAACTCATGGAAATTGAATAATGTTCAGTTGAACCATTACTGGGTCAAGGAAGAAATAAAAAACGAAACTAAAGACTTTCTAGAAGTCAATGAGAATGAAGACACAACACACCCAAACTTATGGGACATTTTGAAAGCAGTGCTAAGAGGAAAGTTCATAGCACTAAGTGCCCACATGAAGAAACTGGAGAATAATCACACTAAAGAATTAACAGCACAATTGAAAGCTCTAGAACAAAAAGAAGCAAACTCACCCCAAAGGAGTATATGCCAGGAAATAATCAAATTGAGGGCAGAAATCAATAAAGTAGAAACTAGGAAAACAATACAAAGAATCAATGAAACAAAGAGTTGGTTCTTTGAGAAAATCAATAAGACAGACAAACCTTTATCCAAACTTACCAAATACCAGAGTGTGAACATGCAAATTAACAAAATCAGATTCTGAGGAAATTTAGAGAATCATCACTTTGAAAATCTGTACTCCTCAAAACTCTAAAATCTAAAGGAAATGGACAATTTTCTGGATAAATATCACTTACCAAAATTAAATCAAGAACAGATAAGCAATTTAAATAGTCCTGTAATCCCTAATAAAATAGAAGCAGTCATCAAAAGGCTCACAATCAAAAGAAGTCCAGGTCCAGATGACCTGGGTGTAAAATTTCACCAGAAATTCAAACAACAGATAATACCAATTCTCCTCAAAGTATTCCACACAATAGAAGCAGAAGGGTCATTGCCAAACTCTGTTTACCAGTCTTCTATTTCCCCAAGTCATACAAAGTCAAAAC